TCCATTTCCTTGCCCTTTGCAGCTTCTAGAGGCTGCCTGCCTTCTGGGGCCCTGTCCTTGCTTCTGTCACCACATTGCCTCCTCTGCACTCTAACCCTCCCGCCTCCCTCTTGTAAGGAACCTGTGATTATACTGGGCCCACCTGGATGATGCAGGATTATCTCCCCATCTCAAGATGCTCAACTTAACCACTTTTGCAAAGTCATTCTTACCGTGTAACATAACATATTTACAGGTTTCAGGGATTAGGATGGGAACATCCTTGGGAGGGCCATTGTTCTGACTACCATGCCTCTTTCCATCCTCATTCTTTTCAAATTCTCTTCATCTTTCAAGGTCATCTTCTGGGACTCCTGCTTCAGCCCACAGTAAAATCTGTCTTTGTAATTATGGTTGATATATTACCATAGCAACTGCCTGCCCATGAACTTGTTCCCCACAGCAGAGCTGGTAGGCATTAGGCATGACTTTCATATTCTCATGTGTCCTTCCCATCTCTATGGAAAATATTCATCACATGCATCCCTAACAACCTCACACGAGTTCCAACAATGTTTAAGAGACTTTGTGAAGCACTTGTACATATGGGGAAAGTTGAGAAAGCTTTGGTTATGCCTTCCAGAGGGTCTGGCAGCCTCACAGCCAGCAGAACTGGATGGTTCTTGAAAACACTGGCTGTCCTGAAGTTGTGCTCTATATGCTATAATCTTGGAAGAGTGAGATGGGGGTCTCCTTTCTTATGTAAATGTGGGTCCAGGCCTGGGTAGAACAGCCCCAAACCCAGCCAGCCATGTCTTTTCCTCTCACTGCCTTTGCACTAGCCTTTATGAACAGCAGTCTTTTCATTTTTAATATTAGTCTTTTACAACTGGACAGAACTCCATCTATAGGCCTACTCCCTCCCCCATACTGAACATGAGTTTTATTTTACGTAGTTATGTTTAAGGAGAAATACTTAAGTGAGGAAGGAGCTTGTATTTTGGAGCCAGATACACTTGAGTTCACTTGCTAGATCTCTTCTATGGCTGTGTGATCTTTGGAAAGAAAAGTGGTAGCACCTTACAGGACTGATGAGAATATTGTGGGAATGATGTAGATGTATTGCTTCATATAGCACCTGGCATTTAACAGGCACTAAAGGCAGGTTAGTTTTTTTCTTCTCTGTCCTCATTTAAACAAATTCTTACTAACTAATGAGGATTAAATGCTGAAAACACCCACAAAGTAGGAAAATACCACAAAGATTGCTTACATTTGGGGGACAGAATGTGACATAATGTAATTTGCAAAGGATTATATCCTAGCCAGCTCAGCTGTCATAACAAAATACTGTAGACTTGGCATTTTGGTAGCTTAAAGAGAAATTTTCTCACAGCTCTGGAGGCTGGAAGTCGCAGATCAAGGTGCCAGCCTGCTTCCTGGATTGTAAATGGCTGCCTTCTCTCTGTGTCCTCACGTGGTGTGGTGGAGTGCAGTGGGTCAGGGTGGGGGTGGGGGTGGGGGGCGGAGCACAGGTGCATGCAAGCTCTCTGGTGTTTCTTCTCATAAGGACACTACTCCTGCCGGGTCAGGACACCACTAGATGACCTCCTTTAGCCCTAACTATCTCCTTAGCAGCCCTATCTCCAAACACAGTCACACTCAGGAGCTGTGGCTTCAGAAGGGTTTTGGGGAGACACCTTCAGTCCATAACAGATTACATGGTCATGTTCATACTTGGCAGTTCCTTACATTTCAGATTTTACCATGGGGATTTTAAATTGTGTCAAGACCCCTACCCTTGACCCCAGTAAACACAGAACCCCTTCCTTCCCTACTTTCCTGCTTCTGGAGTTGGCCAAAAAGGACACCAGAAATGCTCTGGCATTTCTCCACAGCACAGGAGATGAGTGGGACCTTCTCGCAGGCCCCCAGATGCAGGTGCCCCATGAGCATCCCTATGGCTCACTGAAAATGAAATGGGACGTCTAAGGTTACCTTTGTGACCTCATGTGCCAGGATTCAGCCCTGAGCATTTGCAGAGAGATGCAGAGGAGGAAAAGAGAGGGGCCAGCGTGTTAAGAAGAGAGTGGAGGGAGGGATGTGCTATAGCAGGAAATACGGATCTTCTTTCAGTAGAGTGGGAAGTCTTGAAGTATTTCAGGCACGGGGTTACATCATCTCTCTATTGAACAGATTAGCAAACTGTGGCCAGTGGCCACCAAATTTGGCCAGCCACGACATTATAGTGTAAGCCCGACAATTGTTTTTTTAATTGTAATTTAAGTGTTTGACACTAAGCTTTTGATTGCTGAGGCATCCCCTTCAAAGACATCCATCTTAAATAACAAGTGTCAGCTACAGGACTGGAGTAGCCGGGCCACTCCACTCGTGAAGTCCCCTTTTTAGAGAGCTCAGGTTGGCTTGGATAACTGACCATCTGACCATTTTCTCGAGCTTTAATTTCCATGCTTGTTTTACATTCACCGCTAAAGGGTGAACCTACCAAACCACAGGCCCCTACCCTTGGCCCCAATTAATGCAGAATCCCAGGCCCATACTCTCTCTCATTACCTAGTGACCCTGGAGCACTTTGTACCCTCTGGGACCTGTGGCCTGTGACCTTGGAGCGCTTTGTATCCTCTGGGACCTGTGACTAATAAACTTTGTGTTTTCAGAGTTTCCTGACTGTTACCACTGAAGTGAGTCTTGCAATCACAATACGAACCACAGGGGCTGGTCCAGCTGCAAGGCTGACTCTCTGACTCTTGTTGGGGAAATGCCTGTGGGGCTGCCTCAGCACTAGGCCCAGGTGAGTGCCCCAGGCATTCCTAGCTGAGAGCATCACTAAGGACTGGCCGAGAGTGACCCAACACAAGTGGCCTTGCCTGCAGGGCTGCATTGAATGGAAGGAATGCACTTTAGTCGCAACCGGCTTACTACCCAGCTAGCGCAGGTGGGTAACACCACCTGGGAAAGGAGCACCACCTGCAGGGGTCTGTACTATGTGCCCTTGCATATCGCCTCCGTGGTGTGCTACCCGCAGGATCTGTCCCCAAAATGTCACTGCTGCCATAATGACTCAGCCATCTCCCCTTCTCACAGCTACTGCCCCCTGCTACCGGCCATCCTCTTGCCACACAGGTGCTAACCCCTCTGGCCTGCGCCAGTCCCTGCTACTCCCTCTGCCCCCTTCCCTAACCTCCAGGATTGACAGCCACCTAAGCCCCTAGCCTACAAAACTGGCAGTTTCTGGGGGCCTGTCTCACCTCCCAGGGACAATCACCCCTATACCACTCTGGCAGTCCATTGGGGCAAAAAACGTACCTAGGCCTTTTTGGTCCTCTTAGACACCAGGACGACTGTCATTTGAGGCAATCCCTCTAAATTCCCAAAAGGGAAGCCCTTCTACCTACAGGACATTGCTGGTAAACCAAGGTGTACAAACCTATTCGGATGTAATTAATGGGATCATTCACCTCAGACAGCTCTTTCTTTCCCTATCGCAGGCTTGGGTGCCCTGACCGATGCTATACCACAGGGAGCAAGCCCAGGTTCTTAGTCTACCTAGTGGGACTCACTGAATGGACACTGGTGACCTTCATCCTCCAGTCAGGACAGGAAACACTCCCCAGGACTGACTTAGGGCAGTGATGGCATAGGCCCTGTCATTAACGATATGCTTCAGACAGCAGTCACTGAGCCCACCATCTCCCCTTTCAGTAGTCCATATGGCTGGTACTTAAGCCAGCCACTAAGGAACGGTGGCTCACCACTGACTACCGAGACCTCAATGCTCAGGTTCTACTGATTAATGCTCAAATTCCTAATATTATTGAATTAATTGAAGATATACAATGGGCTTAACAGGCATCTTTTGAGGTCACTGATTTTGCCAATATCTTCTGTTCTGTTCTTATCACAGAGGAATCCTGGGCTCAGTTTACTTTCTCTTTAGAAGGAGCTCAATATACATTTGTTGCAATTGCACATAAGCTCTGTTGCCAGGATTTAATTGTAGTGTGTGTTGCACTTACAACAGCAAAGTACTGTTTTTGGCAATTTACTGTCTATGCTGAGGTGTCCCTCTGAGGAAGTGGTATGAGCAGATCTGTAGTACTACAGGACATTGCTGGTAAACCAAGGTGTACAAACCTATTCGGATGTAATTAATGGGATCATTCACCTCAGACAGCTCTTTCTTTCCCTATCGCAGGCTTGGGTGCCCTGACCGATGCTATACCACAGGGAGCAAGCCCAGGTTCTTAGTCTACCTAGTGGGACTCACTGAATGGACACTGGTGACCTTCATCCTCCAGTCAGGACAGGAAACACTCCCCAGGACTGACTTAGGGCAGTGATGGCATAGGCCCTGTCATTAACGATATGCTTCAGACAGCAGTCACTGAGCCCACCATCTCCCCTTTCAGTAGTCCATATGGCTGGTACTTAAGCCAGCCACTAAGGAACGGTGGCTCACCACTGACTACCGAGACCTCAATGCTCAGGTTCTACTGATTAATGCTCAAATTCCTAATATTATTGAATTAATTGAAGATATACAATGGGCTTAACAGGCATCTTTTGAGGTCACTGATTTTGCCAATATCTTCTGTTCTGTTCTTATCACAGAGGAATCCTGGGCTCAGTTTACTTTCTCTTTAGAAGGAGCTCAATATACATTTGTTGCAATTGCACATAAGCTCTGTTGCCAGGATTTAATTGTAGTGTGTGTTGCACTTACAACAGCAAAGTACTGTTTTTGGCAATTTACTGTCTATGCTGAGGTGTCCCTCTGAGGAAGTGGTATGAGCAGATCTGTAGTGCCCCCTGACTCCAGTCCTTGGCCACACCTGCCCATGCCTCCTTGAGTTTTGGGGCTAAGCAGGGATTCACTGGTTCCCAGGTAGGTAATTTGGACTAAGCGCCTACCCCTGCGACAGCCCCATATGCTCCCTTTGGGTGCCTGCTTTGGGCATCTTATTGGGCTCTGGCAGAACCGAGTCCCTCCTGACTCCCACCTGGAGCTACTGGGTCCCCTAATAGCTGGGCTAGACGCCTCCGAGCAGCAGCCCAGCCCGACCACTGGCGCCTCTTGGGCGAAGCGTAAACGGTGGCCTCACGAGAGGCCTCAACCTGACGTCCAGGCCTTTCCAAGTGAGTCACAGGAGGGTGCGGCTTCCCCGTGCTCAGCCCCTCGCCCAAGAGCCTGGAAGACATGACAGCGTCCCTCTTCCCCCGGCTACTTGGAGAGCCCCCCGGGACCAGCTGTGTGAGCCGGACAGGGGACCCGTGTCCTCCACGGAAGGCAGCGCGGCTGCTGGCGGCCGGGCACCCCGACCCCGGGCGCGGCTCTGCGGCTCAGGCCGGCCTCAGCCGGGAATTCCCTCCCTAGTGGCTGGGGCCCGGGCGAAGGGCCTCCCCTGGGTGCCCCGCATTCCAGGCTGAGGCAGACAAGTGCATTCTGGGCTCCCAGGGACCCCGGCCCCGGCTCCAGACACCGCGCCACTGTCACGGGCACTTACCAGGAGAGCCACCTGGAGCTCCTCCTCAAGACCAGTCAGCTGTCTCCTCGCTAAACATATTCTTGTTCCCTTTGCCTCACCAGGCATTATTCACCCCGACCAGGACGCCCACCCTACCTCTCAGGTGCCTCAGCACTGCACTCCAGGGCAGACCTCCATCCTGGTAACTGCCAGGGCGGGGGCTGTCCTCTTAAAGAGACACTCCTTAAATTGTGTCCTGGCCCAGGATCTCCAAAGTGGATTAACTCTTGCCCCAGGTGTATCTGGCCAGTAGTAGCATCACTATAGTTAGGCTGAGACCAGCGTCTGTCCTGTAATAAAGTTTTATTGGAACACGGCCATGTCCATTTGCTTAGGTATGTCATGCATCTGAAATCTGAAGTCTGTGGCTACTTTCCCGCCACAGCAGCAGAATATGAGTAGTTGCAACGGACACCACATGGCCTGCAAAGCCTCATTTATTTCTATCTGGTCTGTTAAAGAAAAAGTTTGCCAACACTGCTCTATTGTGTGGAGTTGGCTTGCAGGAGGGTAAGGGGGTGCTGAAATACATTTCTCAGCCCAAGATGGAGCTGCTCCTGTGCAGGGAACCACATCAGCAAGGAAACTCACTTTCCCTCTGGTCACTCTGACTGACCAGAAATGCAGTATATGTGGTCAGCCAGCCCCCTGTGCTAAGCCAGCTACAGGCCTTCTCACTCCTAACAAGGTTGACTATGTGACACCAGCTAATCAGGTATTTTCTATTTGTCTTTTCCTTGTTCTCGATTCCTTATCCTCTAAAAGCTTCTTTCCTGCCACCCCACATTGCATGTCTCCGGTAGGAAACTTCATGAAGTGTTGATGTTTGTGTCACCTAAATTATCTTCTTTAACCATTTTTTAACAAGGGGCAGACAATATAGCTGAGAGACTGGAGATGAGTAGATGTGGATGAATTCAACATACATTTTGTCAAGAACCTAGAGAATTGGCTCTTGGGTTTGTTGGGGTCGGGAGGAGTGACAATGACTCCTGGGCCTTGCCCTGAGCCAGTCTGGTGCCCTTTAGGAGACTGGGGGCACTGGGGAGGGGAAGAGAGACAGTGCAAAATAGCTCACAATTTGCATTTTGAACAGGTGAATTCTGAGATGTCAATTAGACCTCATTTAGATGGAGATTTGAAAGCTAGGCAATGGGATGTTGTTTAGGCCCAGGAGAACAAAAATGAGATACATACCAGGAAGGAGTGAGGAAGGTAGTGAAAAGCCTGAGAGAGAAAAATAAGAGAGAGAGAGAAGAGGGGTGAGATGGCCTGAAGTGCCACGCTGGCAACCAACATTCCAGAGTTTCAGAAAAGCCTTGCAGGCGGCATTGTCATGTAGACATAAGTTAGGAAGGGGCTGTTTCCCAGACCTTGGGGAGCCCACCCAGGGAGGTCTGGGTGTGTGCTAGAGCAAATATGAATACTCAGATGCCCGACAGCCCTGGTGGGATGGGAGAGAGGTGGATTCCAGCCAGACCTTTCCCCAGAAGGAGGCCTGGGTCCTGACCCCTTTCATTTACTATGTGGAGCTAGGTGCAGGGCCAGATGCCCCCTGCAGCCCCTGCCCTGCCCCCTCTGTGGACAGGCAGACCAGAGAACCAAGAGAGGCATCACATAGGCCCAGTTCCTTTTTTTCTCTTTAAAGTCAGCTTACTGAGATATAACTTACACACTCATTCAAAGTATATATTTTGAGTCTTGACAAATTAATACACCCTGTAAATACCACCATCATCAAAATATTGACCATTTCCAGCATCCCCTAAAGCCCTCTCAGCCTGTGTAGTAAATCCCTCCCATGTTCCCACCCCCAGGCAATCACTGGTAGGGTATGCTTTCTGTCATTATAGATTATACTTGCCTGTGTCTTGCGGATGGGTTTCAGGCCTGGACAGGTTTACTATGGATTCAGTGAGACCGATAAAATGACAATGGAACATTCTGGGGATGAAAGGATTTATATTCAACTTTATTCCCATGATGGCAGGTCGATCACTAGATTCCTATCCACTCAGAGGGAGTCGGCCTGCAGCAAGCTGGTCTCTGCCTCTGGGCCTCTCTGCCCCCACAGGTGTTTCAGTCTCTGCCCTTGGCCGTTGCCACCACTCCAGTCTCTGCTCTCCTGCAGCCATACAATTGTGCAGCCCAGAGCCCTGGGAAGGGCTCTTTATATAGAGTCAATAACAATGTATTGCCTGCACGTGTGTAGTGAGCAAGTGTTCCAGGGCCAGGTGAGAATCCTGGCTATAGGAACCTTCACTTTATCCATAGCCTGTTTCAGTGTTTTTTTGTTTGGCTTCTTTCACTCATCAGAATGAGTTACCTGCATCAGTAGTTTCTTCCTTTTTATTGTGAATTAGCATTTTAGTGGTATAAATATTGGCATGATATACTGTCTTGCCAATGGGTTTCAGCCCTGGGCAAGTTTGCTATGGATTCAGTGAGACCAAGGAATGACAATGGAACATTTTTGGGGTGAAAGGGTTTATTACCTGGCTCGTTCTCCCAGTGATAGGTGGAGCACTAGAATTACATCTGCATCCAACAGCCCAATAGTCCTTCATCTCTACCTCCATTTAGAGCACTGGGCAGAGCTCTTTATATAGTCACTCAGTCAATAGCAGTTTATTGCCTATGGGTGTGGAAGCAGTAGCCTAGCAGCCGGCCAGTTACATCATCAAGTAGTTTAGGCTCAGGTGAGGATCCTGGCCACAGGAACCTCCACTTTATCCACATATACCAAAATTTTTGTTTATCCATTTACCTGTTGATGGACCCTTGGGTAATTTCATGTTTTTTGCTATTATGAAAAGAGCCTAGTTTATTCTTTTACATGTGATAATCACTCCTATTCTTACAAGTGGGAGAGGAGAGAGGCTGGGGTGCAGATTGAGCACAGTTTCTCACATGTTCATGACACCAAAATCAGTTACCAGAGAGCTTGTTGACACACAGATGATGGTCTTTACCCCCAGAGTTTCTGATCCAGCAGATGGGGGGATGGGTCAAGGGGGATAAGGTGGGGGGGAAGGGAATTTAGGGAAAATGGAAGTCCCTATGGCCCAAATCCTCACCTGACCTTAATCTACTTGATGATGTCATTGGCCTGCTGCATATGCTAAGGCTTACCACCTGTTGGCAATGAACCATTATTGCAGTGTCTCTATATTAAAGAGCCCCGCCCAGTGCTCCGCCCAGAGGCAGAGGAGCAGATGGATTGTGGACTTCCAGGGGCAGATGTGATTCCAGCACTTGACCTGCCACTGTGAAAATAAAGCTTGGTATAAACTCTTTTACCCATAACCTTCCATTGTTGTTACTTGGTCTCACAGAACCCAGAGTGAACTTGCCTGGGGCTGAAACCCTCCAGTGAGACAGCCAAAATTTGCATTTCTAACAAGAAGTGCTGATGTGGTTATTCCAGGAACCCCACTTTGAGAACCACTGGTCTTGAGGAACTTGGAAGACAGGGAATGAAGTGACCTACCACATGGTGCTGTGCTCATCATAAGCCTCATTTACACACAGCTCTGATCACTTCTCAGACACACACAAACCTAGGGATGGTTTATCTTAACAGCTTTATTGAGGTACAGCTTACACACCACAAATTCACTTAAGTATACAATTCAATGATTTTTTAGTAAATCTACCAAGTTGTGCAATCATCAATACATTCCAGTGCTAGAACATTTCCGTAATTTCACTAAGGTCCTTCTGGCCTATTAATTATAGTTAATCCTTGTTCCCACTCTCAATTCCAGACAACCACTGACCTACTTTCTGTCTTTATAGGTTTGCTTTTCTGGGCGTTTCAAGTAAATGGAATCACACAATATGTGTTTTTTTGTGTCTGGCTTTAATTTACCCTAAGATTATCAAGGGTTCTCTATGTTGTAGCATGTATTATTAGCACATACTTTAAAACAATTACAAAACAGTACTCCATTCAATTGTATGGATATAACATTTCATTGTAATGGATAGATCACATTTAATTTATCCATGTATCAGTTAATGGACACGTGGGTTATTTTTTGGTGATTATGATTAATGCCTCTATGCTCATTCATGTACAGGTCTCTGTGGAGGAATGTTTTTCATTTCTCTTGGGAGTTGAATTTCTGGGTCACATGGTAAATTTATATTTAACACTTTAAGAAACTGCCAAACTGTTTTCCAAAGTGGCTGTACCATGTTACAGTTGTACTAACAGCATGGGATCAATTTTCCCTAGATATTTTTTTTAAATGAGAGGAATACAAGAGATTTTGAGATCAACCTGTGTGAAGAAATGTGTTCAGAAATACTGTTCATTAAATGTTGTAAGTGCACACATAAGAACGTGGAAACACCTTTTTTTTTTCCCACTGCTTTCAGTCTTGGCTGCACATTAGAATCATCTGAGGAAATTTAAAAAGTCCTGATGCCAGGCTACATCTCAGACAATTACAACTGAGACATGGTCAGGGGTGGGCAGGCATTAAGATGCCTAAGCTCCCCAGGTGATTTCAATGTGCAGGCTGAGAACTTCAGATTAAAAAAAAAGAAGTTTATTGAGCCAATCACTGAGAAATAGCTACACAAATACAGCTGAAGAAAGACAGTACCTATAGGATCAGCTGAATGAGACTGGAAAAGTCATATGGCCGTAGAAGGAACAAAGAATGCAGTGTGATTCATCTCATTTACCTTTCCTGATATTATTTCAACCTTTTTGACTATCAAGGACAGAAAGTGATGACTGATATGGTCGTATGGGTGGGCAATTGTGGGGAGGTTGGGGTTCCTATGGCCAGGATCCTCACTGAACTTAAACCACCTGATGATGTAACTGGCCTGTTGCTGGGCTACCGCTTCCACACCTGTAGGCAATAAGCTATTACTGTGCTATGTAGAGAGCTCAGCCCAGTGCTCTCGGCGGAGGCAGAGATGCTAGTGCTTGACCTACCACCAGAGAACAGGCCGGGTAATAAACCCTCACTCCAAAGAACGTTTTGCTGTCAATTTCTTTGGTCACATTGAATCCATAGTGAACTTGCCCGGGGCTGAAACCCATTGGCAAGACAGCAATCTAAGTTTCAATGGTCTGTTTTAGACGGGAGATTGTGAGTGTTCCATGTCAGTATACAGTCCAGTTGTGCAGAAGAAAGGATAACTGGTGGGTAAGGATCTGCCAAGAAGGACAGGGGTTCCCAGACAGAAGCAGTGGCCCTAGGTGGAGAAAGGATGGCCCCTCTACTTTCAAGGAGGTAGAGGATGGGAACATATTGAGGCAGACATTTTGGTTTGCTAGCTGGATGATCAGAGAATGCTTCTTTGTGTTTTCTTTTCATTTTCTTAGTGAATTGTGATGGAAAGTCATTGTGTAGAGAGGGATTTATTGACACTGGGTTGGGAGAGGGGTAGGACTGAATGTTTGGGGAGAGTAGAAAGGATATGAAACAGTCACTGCTAGGGCGAAGCTGCGTTCACATGAGGAAAACAAGTGGGCCTAATGGGCAGCATGGAGAATTGAAGACATTTATGATTTTCTAATGATGCTGACCTCTGTTTTCTCTCTCAGCTGCTTGGGGCAGGCAGGAGAAAGCAGACAGTAAGCCTCCACAGGTATTTAGGAAAGACAGAAAGGCAAAGGACTTTGGGGTAAAGCAAGAGTGTTTCAAAAATACTGGGCCTTCAAATGCATGCTGGAAAAGTGATGAAAAAAAAAAGGAATAAACTGAAAGATGGAGAGGAAGCAGAGGGTCAGTGGGTTGGAAAGAGATTGTGCGCAGAGAGTGGGATACTTGGATTATATGATTATGGAGGTAGAGATATAAATGAGTGAGTCCTGGATGGGCTGTCCATGTGGGAAATGTCAAATTTCATTGCCTCCACTTGTACTCAACTCGGTTACCACACCATGCCCAATAGCTGTTACTAAGATCTCAGGTGACCTCCATGTCTTCTAATCCAAAAAATATTTTCCAGCCCTCATTTGCTTGATTTTTCAACATTATGTGACACTGTAATCCATTTCCTGTTCTTGAGATGGTCCCTTTCACTGGCTTCTACGACAATACACTCTTCTTATTTCTTGCCAGCTTCTCTGACCCCTGGGGGGTCCACCTGCCTCTTCCTTTACATGTGCAGCTTCTTATAGAGTGTGATCCTTAGAGCTCTTGTCTGTGTTTTCTCCCTAGGCAATCTCATCTCTGCCTCATGGCTTCAGTTACTACCCACCACTGTAGAAGTTTCTTCTGAGCATTAAGCCCAGATACCCAATTCCTACTAGTCATTTCCACTTGGATGTCTCAGAGGCTCTTCAAACTGCTCATTTATTAACTTGAACTCATAACTCATCCCCAAATCTGGTTCTTTCCTGATGTCCTCACCTAAGTGGACCTCATGCCTTGGTTAGACAAATCAGAAATCTAAGAGCCATCTTTCTTACCTGTTTCTCAACTTTCCATACCCAATCTATTATTCCCATCAATTTTCTTCCTAAATATCTGAGAATCCACCCCCTTCTCTCCAGTGCTAAGATCCAGATCCAACCTCTACCATCTCTTGTGAAGATTCCAGTGTCTTATCAGTCTCTCTACTCCCTTCCAGCCCATCCTCCACACTAAACTGTGTGAATTCTGTCTCCTCCCCCAACACAAAGCTGATCATCTAACTCTTTATCTCAACCCCTTCATCTACTCCCCACTTTCCACTGCTCCTGGAATAGATACAAAGCCTGTCCTGCAGTCCTCAGGACCCATCCTGGTCTGGCTCTTGTGTCTGCTCCAGGCACACTGGCCTTAGCTGAGCAGCGGCTCTGTCCTGCCTTCTCCACCTCGCACCCACTCGTCCTTGGCTCTCATCTCACACTTCCTCGGGGAAGCCTTCCTGACCACTGCACACAGGTCAGCCTCCACTGTTACCTGTCCAGGGAAGGGCAAGCCTTCGCTCCACAGGGCTTATCTCAGTCTGGAGTTACACACTCGTTTAGGCGGTTGTTTGACTGACGTCTGTCATCTCACCCAGGACTCCAGGCGCCACGAGAGCAGGAACGCCGTCTGGGCTTGCTCATCCTGTTCACTCCCCACCTAGCAGGATACCTGGCTGTCGCAGGTGCCCAGGGGGGTGACTGGGGACGGCGGCATTCAAGCAGAAAGGTGTATTAGAAATCACTGTTTTCTGTCATTTCAAACCTGAAGAACTGGAGGCCTGGAGAGGTGGGAGGTTCGGTCACACAGTTAGGTGATGGCAGAGCTGGAATGTAAATCTGGTCTCTTTCTACCTTATTTTGGGAACTGTCGGTTTATTTAATGTAAAAACTCTATAGTATTCTCTCTTTCTCCTGCTTTTTTAAGAAAAATAAAAGCAGTCTGTGCTTAAATGTGTTTTGCACCATCTGATCACAAAACATCAAACCACTGGTGGCAGACAAGGGGCAAGGGAGGAAAACCATTTTAGGGACGTGCCCCTGCCCTCACCCCCACCACGTGCAGCAGTGATGGGGTGGCAGGTGGGAGCCAGGACGCACATGCCACCTCCTCCTTCCCCTGCCGACCGGCTGTCCATCCAACCCCTCCGCCACAGCAAGAGGAAGATTAGCAAGGCCCGCGGTGACACAGACTTACTCCCTGGAAGTTGTGGACTCGTCAGAGAGAGTTGCAAATCTCATTTCCCCAGCGGCGGCAGGCAGTCACCTTGTGCATTATGAGACCACACATAGTCTCATTATCAAAAATGCTTTGCCAACTGTTTCTCCAGAGGCTTCATTCCCTGCCACTCCTTTGCACTGAATAAAGCTCGGGCGCCCTCTGGTGGTAATTGTTGGAAAAATCTCAGGAGAGGGAGAGATTTACTTCGTTGGGGTGAGGCGAGTGCTCAGTTCTTTGTATTTCTTTCCCTTGCCTCCACAGCCTTTTCCAAGATAAGCCATTAAAATTAAAGCTGAGCCATTATAAACCACCTGAACAAGAAGGCATCAATGGACCGAAGCTTTCTGTGGCCAGGCTTACAATTTACCAGCTCCTGTTGCTAACCTGAGTGGTGGTGACCTGAGACTGGACTGTGAATCTGGCCGCCAGTGTGGGGTGGAGGTCCTGATTTGCTGGTCAGAAGTGCATGCTCTCCCTGGTAGAACTACTAAGGTCTGTACAGCATTTTACAGGTGACTTACCTAGCAGGTTTTTATCCAAATAGCCATGAGGGGAGGGGGAGCTCTGTGCAAGCAGATGTCATGGGCAGAAAGCTGGGACCAGGGACAGGGGAATTAAGGACAAGTGGTAGGAAAGAGGAACAAATCCACCTTGGCTGTTTGCAGAGCTAGACAGGTTGGAGACAATGAGAACAGGACTGGAGAAAAGGAGGTGGATGACATTCCTGTAATACTTGTAAATGACCAAACTGTCTCAAGCAGGAGAGATTAAGAAATCCAAGTTTCCCAGGGCTGGGGAGGGTTCAGGCAAGCAAAAGAGAGGCTGACAGCAGGCACGAGGGACCAGGCTTTAGGAAAGGAAGCAGATCTGATTTTCAGACTGTTTCTCAAACGGTTGGCAATATCTCCTCCTGCTTTCCATGAAAATTATTTGATATGCCGTTTTATTAGTTCTGTTTGATATTGTGTTTTCTCAGCATAAAGTAGCCTTTTTAAAGCAAAAATAAAAATTTGTGCTATTTTAGAAGTCATTAAAAAATATATGTTTGAAAAAGTTAAAAATCACAATGAGATTAAGACTGTTTAATAGTTACTTTTTGATGGAAATCCAATCACATTGGCCTATACTGTTACATATACCATTACTTGGACATTCATACTCCACTAGGAACATGATATATTACAAAAGAGAGAGGAACTTTGAAAATCACACTTAATTTTTAATACAAAATCTGTTGCACTATTACAGAAGTGACTCCTTCATGCACAGATAATTTTTGCATCTACCATTATGGAAGAGTAAAAACTGTACTTTTATTTTTCCCTCAAACATTGGCAAATTTGAAGTAACTTTTATCTTTGTGCTCTCTGATACCAGGGCAAGCCTGTTCTGCCTTTTTGTATTTCCATTAGGAAGGCTAATCTGTGAACAGTGAATCTGGAGAAGTTTTCTTTTCATTTTCTTAGTGAATTGTGATGGAAAGTCATTGTGTAGAGAGGGATTTATTGACACTGGGTTGGGAGAGGGGTAGGACTGAATGTTTGGGGAGAGTAGAAAGGATATGAAACAGTCACTGCTAGGGCGAAGCTGCGTTCACATGAGGAAAACAAGTGGGCCTAATGGGCAGCATGGAGAATTGAAGACATTTATGATTTTCTAATGATGCTGACCTCTGTTTTCTCTCTCAGCTGCTTGGGGCAGGCAGGAGAAAGCAGACAGTAAGCCTCCACAGGTATTTAGGAAAGACAGAAAGGCAAAGGACTTTGGGGTAAAGCAAGAGTGTTTCAAAAATACTGGGCCTTCAAATGCATGCTGGAAAAGTGATGAAAAAAAAAAGGAATAAACTGAAAGATGGAGAGGAAGCAGAGGGTCAGTGGGTTGGAAAGAGATTGTGCGCAGAGAGTGGGATACTTGGATTATATGATTATGGAGGTAGAGATATAAATGAGTGAGTCCTGGATGGGCTGTCCATGTGGGAAATGTCAAATTTCATTGCCTCCACTTGTACTCAACTCGGTTACCACACCATGCCCAATAGCTGTTACTAAGATCTCAGGTGACCTCCATGTCTTCTAATCCAAAAAATATTTTCCAGCCCTCATTTGCTTGATTTTTCAACATTATGTGACACTGTAATCCATTTCCTGTTCTTGAGATGGTCCCTTTCACTGGCTTCTACGACAATACACTCTTCTTATTTCTTGCCAGCTTCTCTGACCCCTGGGGGGTCCACCTGCCTCTTCCTTTACATGTGCAGCTTCTTATAGAGTGTGATCCTTAGAGCTCTTGTCTGTGTTTTCTCCCTAGGCAATCTCATCTCTGCCTCATGGCTTCAGTTACTACCCACCACTGTAGAAGTTTCTTCTGAGCATTAAGCCCAGATACCCAATTCCTACTAGTCATTTCCACTTGGATGTCTCAGAGGCTCTTCAAACTGCTCATTTATTAACTTGAACTCATAACTCATCCCCAAATCTGGTTCTTTCCTGATGTCCTCACCTAAGTGGACCTCATGCCTTGGTTAGACAAATCAGAAATCTAAGAGCCATCTTTCTTACCTGTTTCTCAACTTTCCATACCCAATCTATTATTCCCATCAATTTTCTTCCTAAATATCTGAGAATCCACCCCCTTCTCTCCAGTGCTAAGATCCAGATCCAACCTCTACCATCTCTTGTGAAGATTCCAGTGTCTTATCAGTCTCTCTACTCCCTTCCAGCCCATCCTCCACACTAAACTGTGTGAATTCTGTCTCCTCCCCCAACACAAAGCTGATCATCTAACTCTTTATCTCAACCCCTTCATCTACTCCCCACTTTCCACTGCTCCTGGAATAGATACAAAGCCTGTCCTGCAGTCCTCAGGACCCATCCTGGTCTGGCTCTTGTGTCTGCTCCAGGCACACTGGCCTTAGCTGAGCAGCGGCTCTGTCCTGCCTTCTCCACCTCGCACCCACTCGTCCTTGGCTCTCATCTCACACTTCCTCGGGGAAGCCTTCCTGACCACTGCACACAGGTCAGCCTCCACTGTTACCTGTCCAGGGAAGGGCAAGCCTTCGCTCCACAGGGCTTATCTCAGTCTGGAGTTACACACTCGTTTAGGCGGTTGTTTGACTGACGTCTGTCATCTCACCCAGGACTCCAGGCGCCACGAGAGCAGGAACGCCGTCTGGGCTTGCTCATCCTGTTCACTCCCCACCTAGCAGGATACCTGGCTGTCGCAGGTGCCCAGGGGGGTGACTGGGGACGGCGGCATTCAAGCAGAAAGGTGTATTAGAAATCACTGTTTTCTGTCATTTCAAACCTGAAGAACTGGAGGCCTGGAGAGGTGGGAGGTTCGGTCACACAGTTAGGTGATGGCAGAGCTGGAATGTAAATCTGGTCTCTTTCTACCTTATTTTGGGAACTGTCGGTTTATTTAATGTAAAAACTCTATAGTATTCTCTCTTTCTCCTGCTTTTTTAAGAAAAATAAAAGCAGTCTGTGCTTAAATGTGTTTTGCACCATCTGATCACAAAACATCAAACCACTGGTGGCAGACAAGGGGCAAGGGAGGAAAACCATTTTAGGGACGTGCCCCTGCCCTCACCCCCACCACGTGCAGCAGTGATGGGGTGGCAGGTGGGAGCCAGGACGCACATGCCACCTCCTCCTTCCCCTGCCGACCGGCTGTCCATCCAACCCCTCCGCCACAGCAAGAGGAAGATTAGCAAGGCCCGCGGTGACACAGACTTACTCCCTGGAAGTTGTGGACTCGTCAGAGAGAGTTGCAAATCTCATTTCCCCAGCGGCGGCAGGCAGTCACCTTGTGCATTATGAGACCACACATAGTCTCATTATCAAAAATGCTTTGCCAACTGTTTCTCCAGAGGCTTCATTCCCTGCCACTCCTTTGCACTGAATAAAGCTCGGGCGCCCTCTGGTGGTAATTGTTGGAAAAATCTCAGGAGAGGGAGAGATTTACTTCGTTGGGGTGAGGCGAGTGCTCAGTTCTTTGTATTTCTTTCCCTTGCCTCCACAGCCTTTTCCAAGATAAGCCATTAAAATTAAAGCTGAGCCATTATAAACCACCTGAACAAGAAGGCATCAATGGACCGAAGCTTTCTGTGGCCAGGCTTACAATTTACCAGCTCCTGTTGCTAACCTGAGTGGTGGTGACCTGAGACTGGACTGTGAATCTGGCCGCCAGTGTGGGGTGGAGGTCCTGATTTGCTGGTCAGAAGTGCATGCTCTCCCTGGTAGAACTACTAAGGTCTGTACAGCATTTTACAGGTGACTTACCTAGCAGGTTTTTATCCAAATAGCCATGAGGGGAGGGGGAGCTCTGTGCAAGCAGATGTCATGGGCAGAAAGCTGGGACCAGGGACAGGGGAATTAAGGACAAGTGGTAGGAAAGAGGAACAAATCCACCTTGGCTGTTTGCAGAGCTAGACAGGTTGGAGACAATGAGAACAGGACTGGAGAAAAGGAGGTGGATGACATTCCTGTAATACTTGTAAATGACCAAACTGTCTCAAGCAGGAGAGATTAAGAAATCCAAGTTTCCCAGGGCTGGGGAGGGTTCAGGCAAGCAAAAGAGAGGCTGACAGCAGGCACGAGGGACCAGGCTTTAGGAAAGGAAGCAGATCTGATTTTCAGACTGTTTCTCAAACGGTTGGCAATATCTCCTCCTGCTTTCCATGAAAATTATTTGATATGCCGTTTTATTAGTTCTGTTTGATATTGTGTTTTCTCAGCATAAAGTAGCCTTTTTAAAGCAAAAATAAAAATTTGTGCTATTTTAGAAGTCATTAAAAAATATATGTTTGAAAAAGTTAAAAATCACAATGAGATTAAGACTGTTTAATAGTTACTTTTTGATGGAAATCCAATCACATTGGCCTATACTGTTACATATACCATTACTTGGACATTCATACTCCACTAGGAACATGATATATTACAAAAGAGAGAGGAACTTTGAAAATCACACTTAATTTTTAATACAAAATCTGTTGCACTATTACAGAAGTGACTCCTTCATGCACAGATAACTTTTGCATCTACCATTATGGAAGAGTAAAAACTGTACTTTTATTTTTCCCTCAAACATTGGCAAATTTGAAGTAACTTTTATCTTTGTGCTCTCTGATACCAGGGCAAGCCTGTTCTGCCTTTTTGTATTTCCATTAGGAAGGCTAATCTGTGAACAGTGAATCTGGAGACATGAGAGTATTTAGGGCCATCTTTACCTGGGATTACTTCAAACTGTGCTTTACCTACATATATCAAAGTTGCCAGGTGACTAGGCCTGCTGAACCCCATAGGCAAAACTCTGAAGAGTCCATCTAGAAATTTGCTGTCAAAATGTAGAATAGTACACTATTTCAGTTTCACAGCAAAAAAGGAAAACAAAACACCAAAAGGTATTTAAGTAAATGATTTTCAATCCCACGCACTGTATTAATTAGCTAACTTCTTATACAGTACAACATAAACATTGTATATTTATTTGTATGTAATGCCAATAAGCATATAGCATCTATACTTTAAGGGTATTTACAAATTCAACAAAATATCTACATATAAAAAGCTTTAATTAAAATTAAACTTGATGCAAGTTATGAGAAACCAATTTATTGGCAAATGAAACTGAGCATTCCTTCAACCATAGGTTGTTATAGAATTTCATATTTGGAAGTAAACCATTTGATAGATATTGTTTATGAATATGGTGGAATATATGTTTATTTTTGAAACTGCACATCTATTCCCTTTGACTGTTGGCCTTACTAGCACTTGTCAGATTTCTTAGATTCTGAAATGTGTCTGTAGCAATTTGCATATATATTGTTTAACGCTTTGGAGAGTTTCAAAAGCTGCCACATAGTTAAAGACTTAGAGAATAATATGTGCCTATCGGCAAGCTATTATATGCATTTAGTTCTGGAATATTTTGTTTTTAAAAAAATTTTTCTACTAAGTTGACATCTTTCTTATGGAATGTGACTTGTTTTAACAGAAACCATAAAGGACCACAAAATCATTAAGCGCTCCAGTTGGTGATAAAGCTTTTCTTTTTATACATATGGGGAAATTTCTCCTTAAGACAAACTGTCTTACTTATTATCTTCTCACATTTCCTTTTTTCGGTAGTGTAGTTTTTCCTTATCTCTTCTTTTATACTTTGACAGTAATCTAGGACTCCAAGTCGACTGTACTGGCAGATACAGAAGGCAGCATGTTCTGGAATGCTTAGTGTCTGAAGGCACTGCATGTGTCTTGCCCTGTGCTTTCTGAAATAATTTTTGAAATTTAAGTGGAGTGACTTGTTTTTGATTCTTTCAGTATGGCATGAATGCCAAATGCATTGCAATACACCTCGTTGATGCCTAAGCACAAGAAGGTAGAGATGGTGTAAAAAGTAGAACACTGTACTGCTGTAATACCTGGAAGATTAAGAAGGCTACAACGTAACAGGAGCAAAGAGCAGGTGACAGAGTCTCAGTAAGCAATCAGCAAATGCAACTGTCATGATTAAGTCATTTAGCAAGTATATACTGTACAGATTGTTACTAACAGTCTCCCAAAAAGACACAACAGCTAGACATAGTCACCAGTTTCACAACAATGTCCACAAAGACATTGAAGTTCTAGAGAATACTACAGCAACACTCTTGACAATGAAAATGGAATTCATATTTCGGGGTTCAGCAGAAGACAGTATAAACAAAGTATCAAACCATGTTGTAATAACATACACAGGTATGTCCTTAAAATGGGTAGCATTTTTCATGCATTGTATGGAACTGTATCCTGAAGAGAAAATAACATGATCTGTTGACGATGCTGTACTGTTTTTATCAGTACCAAGGAAATCAAGAATGAATGTTTTGAATGAGAAAGTATGCATTTTGCACTGCAGTTCACATTAACATATCATATGACTGAGTTATGTTCTTGTTCTAACTGTTCTCATCATATTAACATACAGCAGAACATACTTCCTGCCTCTATGCTCATAGTATGAGAAGCCTGATGAACAAGTGCTTAAGATAAACACTCTAGAGAAATGGGATATTGGCAAAGAGCTTACAGATTAAACAAATGAATTCATGGCATTGACAGGAGAAGGTGCCTCTGAGCTCTCGTTGCCTTCAGCAGGTTCCTTCTCTTTCTTACCACTGTATTGTCCAATAAAGGAGCCATCCTCATTGAACTGGCCATTCACGCCCTCTCCATAGTCAACTAGGCTATCATCACTATCTTCTTTTTTCACAGTCCTGTCTGAAGGTGTTCGACTGCCTTTTTTCAAAGGCTTGTGGTCTTCTGCATCACTGGAAAGAAGAGAAAACATTTTCATCAAGACCGGCATTCAGGTAAAATGTTTTCTTCTGAAAGGTCATGCATGCAAATTATGATAAAGCATATGGAGTCCTGAGCTTTGCCAAATCTAATCATCAGGTTGGCTGGGATGTGGTTGGAGTGAAAGTCAGGTGCAGAAATGATTTAATCATGAAGTCTTCAGTAGGTGGATGGCTTCTTATTGTGCATGTCAGTATCAATGACAGATTCTGTCTCTTGATTTGGAAACAATTCAGAAATAATCACAAGCATTAAAAAAGGAAGAATTGAGCAAAGTTGAAAATCATCATTATTTTGAATTCAAAGGAGGGTAAAAAGCTCAGGCAAGTAGAGAAGTTAGTATGTTAAACTGCGTAATATCTCTGACTCCTTGAATATGAATGAAGAATGATTCTGGTTAAGTGTGAAATATGGATTTTTTTTTTCTGAGCAAGAAGGAGAAGCAAAATCCTGCATTTCAAATGATTTTGTTATTGAGTGCAGGCCAGACTTGTAAACTTTAACCTTACCTTTCAAGAGACCTACAAATTCCATTAAAAGGATGCAGAAGAAACAAATGAAAATAGCCTAAGAAGAGAAGCAAAATCCTTATACTGGTAGTATACACTATTTTTTTTCTGTACAAATTTCAGTTAATGGTAAAGATTTATTAATTTGGAAAGAGACACAGTTTAACCTCAAAGCACTACATTTGTACTGTGAATGGCATGTTGATATATTCTAAAGATTGTGAGTGATTCCAAAAAAAGGTGAACATTCCTCCACTCATCTTCACCCCGCTATTCCCTTCTCCCAAGTGTGCTATGTAGCCTGTCCATTGGGATGGGAATGTGAAGAGTGTAATTTAATAAAGCTTTATAGGACTTAAATTTTTTGGCTTCTTTCTCTGTTGAACCCCTCAGCACAATATCTGGAAGCAGAAGGGTAAGCATTCTGTTTTAGAACATCCTTTCATCTGGTCCTGGAACTAGGTATGCACATTGACCTTAATAGGTAAAATGCGCTTTAAGAAAAGAAAGAGAAGAAACAAAGGCAATGACAGTATTTTGTGATTTCTTGCACAGAACAAAAATACAAGGCAAAATAGGAAATATAAACAATATTAGCAAAAATAACAAGGCTTCATGTAAAAAAGAGGTCACATTAGCTGTAGTATTCCCCCTGGTAATTTGTACCAAGACTTTATTGGTCCCTCTGCTTCTTAGTGACTTTTATTCTAGTCAAGACCCAAATATTTCAAGATGCACACATATTTTGGCTCTTTTGTCAATAAAGTTTGAAAAAGGTTTTCAAACTTTTTCTGTGAAGAGCCCAATAGTATATACTTTCAACTTTATAGGCCACTTGGTCTCTACAGCACGTGGCCTCTTTTTGCTGTCCTTTACCTGCCCCTACCCTCTAGGGTAGCTATTCTCAATACTGATGACAGTGATCCTTTCAAAATGTAAGTCAAATCATGTTGCTCATTCATTGCAAACCCCCCAGTGGCTTCCATCTCAGTCAGAGTCAATGACAGAATCCTTATGCTTTCCCCCAAGGCCCTGAACCAGCCCTGACACCTCTCCCACTTTACCTCCAATCTCCCTCTGTCTCTTTTGGTTCCAGCCACTTAAGCTCCTTGCTGTTCCTGGAACATGCCAGGCTCGCCCCCACCTCAGGACACTGTGCTCAGCTTGTTGATCCTGCCAGGATCACTCTCCCTCCAGCCAACCACCTGGCTAACTCAATTCCTTTAAGTTTTTGATCGGATGTCACTTCTTCACGAGGCCTTCCCTGACATCCTATTTAAATGTCGACCTTCCACACCCTTCCCTGACACCTTCCATCCTCTTTACTCCAATCTCTATCTTCCATAGCACTAATCCCTTTCTGACACACTCTCTGACTCATTTTTTAAAATGCTGACTGTTTATAGTCTGTGTTTTTTTCCCCCTACTAGGGGTAAGCTCTATGAGGTTCAGGGTTTTAGTCTATTTCGTTTGCTGCTGTATCCCCAATGATTAAATATTTTCAAAATAAGTCACAAAATGGTATGTATAACTATAAAATATATTTTGATACTTATATCCAAGAATAAAGTTGGCTGTGCAGTGGAAAGAAATGTTCCAGAACTCAGTTCTTGCCCTACTTCCTCTGGGAGGACCCTCCTTGCATGCCCACGTGGCTTTGGCCTGCCCCCTGCTCCTGTGGCCCCTTGGCTGTATCCCTTTCAGAGCACTTTTCACACTATGCTCTGATTGTTCGTTTACTTCCCTGCATCCCTCACTAGACTAGAAACTAGCCTCTATTGGTTTTAATATCCCCACAGCCTGGTATACAGTAGGCACGCAAGTACTGGTTGAGTGACTTTATAATAGTAAAAACTAATGATAGAAGAGACAAAGGGCATTTTAGAAAATTCTTCAGAACTCTACATTGCAAATTTTTCATTCCTTTTAAATCAATTTTATGATGCCAGACAAAGCATTAGGATATATTTCTTCCTCCCTCTTACCCTAAGAATGAATTTTAGGAAGCTATTTTTTTTTTCCCCAACAGCACTTCATTCAGGGTTGTGCACAGGGAAGGTACCTACCAAACGCCTACTGGGTAAAATTCAGCAACAAATGGATAAATCCGTGATTGTGCATTCTCATTTTCCTGTGGTCACACCCTATCACAGCCAAACCATGCTGCAGTTTCACTGATATTCATGACCCAAACACTCCCTCGAAAAGTCTGCCATTATCTACATTGCTCACACACTGGTTTATATTTGTGAGCAGAATAAATCTAAAGCATGTTACAACTAGAACACATCTTCACATCATTCAAGCTTTATGAGCATGCTTGCAACAGGACTGAGGTCACATGAATGTCAAGGTCCCTGTGCCTAGAGCCTCCATGTATGCTATGGTTTAAGTACCACAGTCACATGGCTTACAACCTGGGTTCATTCTGGTCTTTAAAAGAATGGATCTAAGGAATACAAAAAATACTTACATGGTTGGTTGCATTGTTTCTCTGATTTTTCTTTATGCTAGTAAGGGTGCAGATTCTACTGTCTGTATAATTAAAGAAACAAAGAAAGCTGCAGGCTTCCACCAGAGGGTAAACACGTGGCCTCTTTTTGCTGTCCTTTACCTGCCCCTACCCTCTAGGGTAGCTATTCTCAATACTGATGACAGTGATCCTTTCAAAATGTAAGTCAAATCATGTTGCTCATTCATTGCAAACCCCCCAGTGGCTTCCATCTCAGTCAGAGTCAATGACAGAATCCTTATGCTTTCCCCCAAGGCCCTGAACCAGCCCTGACACCTCTCCCACTTTACCTCCAATCTCCCTCTGTCTCTTTTGGTTCCAGCCACTTAAGCTCCTTGCTGTTCCTGGAACATGCCAGGCTCGCCCCCACCTCAGGACACTGTGCTCAGCTTGTTGATCCTGCCAGGATCACTCTCCCTCCAGCCAACCACCTGGCTAACTCAATTCCTTTAAGTTTTTGATCGGATGTCACTTCTTCACGAGGCCTTCCCTGACATCCTATTTAAATGTCGACCTTCCACACCCTTCCCTGACACCTTCCATCCTCTTTACTCCAATCTCTATCTTCCATAGCACTAATCCCTTTCTGACACACTCTCTGACTCATTTTTTAAAATGCTGACTGTTTATAGTCTGTGTTTTTTTCCCCCTACTAGGGGTAAGCTCTATGAGGTTCAGGGTTTTAGTCTATTTCGTTTGCTGCTGTATCCCCAATGATTAAATATTTTCAAAATAAGTCACAAAATGGTATGTATAACTATAAAATATATTTTGATACTTATATCCAAGAATAAAGTTGGCTGTGCAGTGGAAAGAAATGTTCCAGAACTCAGTTCTTGCCCTACTTCCTCTGGGAGGACCCTCCTTGCATGCCCACGTGGCTTTGGCCTGCCCCCTGCTCCTGTGGCCCCTTGGCTGTATCCCTTTCAGAGCACTTTTCACACTATGCTCTGATTGTTCGTTTACTTCCCTGCATCCCTCACTAGACTAGAAACTAGCCTCTATTGGTTTTAATATCCCCACAGCCTGGTATACAGTAGGCACGCAAGTACTGGTTGAGTGACTTTATAATAGTAAAAACTAATGATAGAAGAGACAAAGGGCATTTTAGAAAATTCTTCAAAACTCTACATTGCAAATTTTTCATTCCTTTTAAATCAATTTTATGATGCCAGACAAAGCATTAGGATATATTTCTTCCTCCCTCTTACCCTAAGAATGAATTTTAGGAAGCTATTTTTTTTTTCCCCAACAGCACTTCATTCAGGGTTGTGCACAGGGAAGGTACCTACCAAACGCCTACTGGGTAAAATTCAGCAACAAATGGATAAATCCGTGATTGTGCATTCTCATTTTCCTGTGGTCACACCCTATCACAGCCAAACCATGCTGCAGTTTCACTGATATTCATGACCCAAACACTCCCTCGAAAAGTCTGCCATTATCTACATTGCTCACACACTGGTTTATATTTGTGAGCAGAATAAATCTAAAGCATGTTACAACTAGAACACATCTTCACATCATTCAAGCTTTATGAGCATGCTTGCAACAGGACTGAGGTCACATGAATGTCAAGGTCCCTGTGCCTAGAGCCTCCATGTATGCTATGGTTCAAGTACCACAGTCACATGGCTTACAACCTGGGTTCATTCTGGTCTTTAAAAGAATGGATCTAAGGAATACAAAAAATACTTACATGGTTGGTTGCATTGTTTCTCTGATTTTTCTTTATGCTAGTAAGGGTGCAGATTCTACTGTCTGTATAATTAAAGAAACAAAGAAAGCTGCAGGCTTCCACCAGAGGGTAACTGCTTGGGGGCGGATGTTGGAATGAGGGCACGAGGGCATAGCATATGGAAGAAAACCCAAGTTTGGCCAGTGAAGTCCCATCCCTTTTTGCACTATGAAATATCCTCTGGCTCAGAGCCAACCATGTAGAAACAGTTTCATCCTCAAGTTGGAGAATGAGTCAATCAAAAACAGAATTAGTTTACATTTAGGTAATAGCCCTAATTTTGTGTGTGTCTGTGTGTTGATCAGCATATTACCTTGTTCTTAGATTGAAAAAGAATCAGAATCAATACATAATACAGAGCTCAAAACTTCCAGAAGGTGCAAGGCAGAGAAGAGACCTGGTGAGGCAGAGAGGAGAATGATACTTAAATGTAACAAAAAAAAGATTCTGTAATCAACAGTTGGAATCACAAAGAAACCAAAGGTGTTTTGGTCTTTTTAAGTAGAGAAGAAACCAAGGTCATGTCAGAATGTCACAGGACAAAGCCGTATCTGTAGCAAAGGGTGATTCTGTCTTGGGGAAGTGATTGCACCTGTGGGACTGTCTTTATGAACTTTCAGCATCAGTAAAAAATATCACTGAGTTGTGTTTTGAGTTTAAGACACCCAACAGAACCACATTCGCCTTGGCACCTCCCAGGTCCGTGTAATTACATGTGTGACAAGCATTGTTGTCTTCACACATGAGCCAGTGGGTTTGTACTCGACAGGCCCAAGAAAAAGTCTTTCTCTTCTGAGAAACTCAAGGCACAAGCTAGAGCCAGCCATCTGAAAAACCTTCACAGACATATCACTATGAAGTAACACAGGAATATGACCAAATAAATGTAAACACAGTGATAATGTGGCCAGTAACCACATCCTTGGTAGGCACTGCTCTGGAACCCAACATCATAGTAAAAGTTGTTAGCAGATAGCTTATAGAGAAGCATAGACATCTTAGAACTAGAAACCTTCAGAGATCACCTAATACTTGAATAACTGTTTCATATTATAGGTAAAAAAAGTTGAGTTCTAAACAAATCCAGTGCCATATCTAAAGGTATCAAGGGTAATGGGCGAGTTAACAGTAACATTGATGGTCTCTTGATTCCAAGCTAGTTCACTTTCAACCTCACTTTCAATCAAGTTTTAACGGAGAAGGTAGCACAGTTACCCTGAGAAAGTCACATTATGTCAAATCAGTTTCACAGCACTGCAATAGCAGTTGACATCTGACCCACGAGGCAAGCAGTACATTGCCAGATTCACTTGAGCATAATGTAGAACAGGAATCCATCACCATGTGAGGAATGTATGAAGTGCAATGGTTTCTTTCCAATTTGTGTAAATATATGTATACATATTTTCCAGCTATATTAAAGATTTAGCTTCATCACAATAAATAAGGCAGTGATGTGCATATCCTGTGTGGAATTCTAGCTACAAGGACTCCAAATATAGAAAGTTAATTGTAATTTAATAATTACACATAATTCTCCTGCTTTACAGGAGTAACACGTAGAAGAGTGAATTAACTTGGCACAGATTTCAACTCATCCAGTGTAAGACACGGTTACCCTAGGCAGTGGCCATCCACAGGCTGCTCTAATGTGTTGTGAAAACCTTCTTAGGTGGACTGGCTGGGGGTGCTGCAAGAGATTTTCATACTTTCAGCCTGGAGTCAACATTTGACATCAAGACAACCCTCACTAGATATTTCTGTAACTCAAGACACAGAAATTCTGAGTTTGAGAAGTCATAGTCATCTCTGTTGAGGGGATCAGAATATGAAAGCTTAGGTGCTTAGACACAAAGGCAAAATGCTTGTATCTGCATGGAAACTTCTTCTGTCAAAAATATATGGTTTTTCTCAGTCAATTCTCTTATTTCTTACATCTGACATGGAAATACCAACAATTTGCTCTAGAGACAGGTAAAAATTGGCACAAATATCATCTGGCAATCATAACAACAAAATATTTTATTTCATCTGAAAGCCTTTTCTTTTGGCTTTTTTTGCCAAAGGCTTGGTGTGGGCTTAGTGTATATTTAAAAGATTATATTTTATAAAATCCAGATGTTTATAGAAAGAAAAAACAAGGTCTAAAGGTTTTCTATGAGTAGGAGTATTCTTTTGGGACACCCAAATCCCAATCTTTTGAATGAACAAATATATATTTTATTTATACATAATTTTTATGTTTTATATTTTATAATTTATATAATTCAATATAATATAAAATATAATTTTATATTATTTTAAATTATATATATAATTTATACATAATTTATATTATATATATTATATATACATATTTTATATTAAATATATATTTTACATATGTTTAAAGAATTTCTCTAACTATTTAGCACATAGGTTAGGTTAAAATTGGTCTTTAATGATGGAGACAAGCCAAGAATGTATTATCAAAGTCCTGTGAGTTAACACACTGCCTCCAGGGCTGGGATATTTCTTAGCAATTAACAGCCTCTAAAACAACCTGGTTGTCATTTCATGATTAATGGGCAGAGGATAGGTATTTGTTTTGGAAAAACAAGCTTCAAATCGAAGATCAGAAATAGCAATACTGACTTTACGAAAGTATTGTTTAGAAAATGACAGGTGTAGTTCCCTTTACAATGCAGGTTTTATACGATCTTTATTGTTATCTTAACTCTCACTGTAACACACCAGCTTTGTTAGGTTGATCAACACAACAAGGGCTCTAGAAAATATAACCGAATGGAAGACACTGTGTCTCCAAGTTTATAACTATGATGGAAACTTGTTTCTTTAATGAAAAGTGAGGATACTTGAGCCATGAGGGATATGCAAACATTTAGACATGGAAATGTTTCTACACTAATACTAGAGGAAAACATGAAATGTAAGGCAGAGCATGTTGCTGGCTGGATCCCAGTCTAGGGAGACTGAGCGCAGGGCCTGTGCAGGGCAGGGAAGTCAAGAGGGCAGGTGAGAAGCAGGCTCACCTGTATTCTCCAAAAGTGCCGTCATCTTCCTTCATAGGCTGGATTTCAGGGTCGGCACGGGCGTCTTCCTTCTCTTTAACTGCAAAATTTCAAAATGATGTTAATTATCTATTGAGGCTGTGCTTCCATATTTAAAGTTTTTGGGAGTGCAGTCTTTGAGATACACAGCAGTGGAAACAGTTCTATTTATAGCAGCTGTTACATAACCGGACGTATCATGTGGCCATGCGTACACGGGGATGTTTCAGTCTCTGAGGCAACCTAACAGAATGAACATTTGCTAACGAAAAGGCTGGCTTCATGTAAGCATTTTGGTAGAAGCCATTTACTCACCTGGTGAAGGAATAAATTCTATGGGTCTAAAATTTCTCCCCTATTTACCAATTTATTATCTATATTCGTGGTTACAAATAGTTTTTGTAAATCTATTCTTTTGCAGATTTTTTTCTTGTCACTGAAGGGGAAATGGCCAGGTAAAGAAAACAGAAATTCACTGGCGCCACTAAATTGAACAAAACATTAACTATAAAGGGAAAGCAGTGTTCTACATCACGATACCAAGACTCAGTTCCTGCATTACTCCCTCGGGAAGACGCCATGCACCTCCCCCCCTCTGCCCGTGGGAGCCTACGGAGGCGCAGTGACTTGGGGGGAGTCTCAGGGTATCACCAATTCCTTCAGAGAACACATTAATTCACTCTTCCAATTGTCTTCTGAATTTTGACTATGTTTAGGCTCCCATCATATAAAAAGGGATCAAAAATTGTTTGAACAGAAAGTCCAAATGTATGACTCCGGGAAGATATACTTACTACACTCTACACTGATTAACCTATCCTTGCGAATTTTTTGTTGTTGTTTAATGGATAATTATACAGCATTATAAGGCAATTTTAATCTTCCTTTCTTACCTGGATATTTACCACCCTTGTTTCTTCTGATGAAGCAAACAATCAGCAAAATTAAGATGAGGAGAGCGACAGCACACATTAGACCAATGAACCAGCCCTGAGTTGCAATATCCACCTGTCGGCTTGCCATTGCTGGAAAACAGATCCATGGTGTTGGTGGGAATGGGTAAAGAGGAATATGAGAATTGTAGGTTTCTGTAGTATAACTTCCCATCATATATGAACTTTTATGTACTTTACATGTGGCCCCAAATTGGAATCTGTCAGTTATTAAATCAAGAGTTATTTAAATACTTAGCTCTGGAAAATCTGTATTAATCAGAAATATTCAAATAGAGAAATCTGATTACTAATATCATTAAATGCTAACAAACACTGCTGAATAATGTGTTCACAGCTATTTTAATTATATATTCTTAATAGAAGCATAGTTCCAAACCAATTAAAATTTTTACTATTTATAGGATAAATTGGGCATTAAGTGCAATGATAAGAATATAAGACTGAATTTTAAAACAGAACAGAATGTATACATCTAATGGAGTATTTTTCCTTCAAAGGAACCACTTTTTGAGGCTAAAATGTCATTGCACTGATGCGCCATTTTTCAAAATGCTTTGGAAATCTTCTATTAAAAAAGAAAACTTTCCACACAAGAAATTTGTCTACCCAAGATAACCAGTCTTATTATTTTATATAGCACTCAATTTGCACCCCAAATACCAGATTCGTTATTCATCTCACTGTTATTTACTGCATTTACAAGAGTTGGTTCTGAATGAGTTCTGGAAATTTCTTAAAAATCCAATTTTTCCCCCAAGGTTCAATATTCAATATTCAATGCTGCTTGGGTTCATTCAAAAGACTTTGAGGCAATCTTGATCAGTGGAATAAGGAACCAGTTTTAAGAGAAAATACTCATTCACATGTATACATATCTTTAAATCTTCATCTGTTCTGTTTGGGTCAACAAATGTGAAACCCCTTATTCAACCAGTCACAGTATGCAAATCTTCTAAGAAAAACAGAATAGTGAGCATTTCTGGTATTATTTAAAAGTGTCAATCAGATGGGTCAAAGTGCAGCATCAATGGCTATTCAAACATGCCCATGAGAATTTGTTTAAATACACTGGTATGAATTTTTTATAGGCCTTTATTTTTTCTCTTTCGACCAAAATCAAGGTAAAACGTTTTCTTCTTTTGATTCATAAGCATGTTTATATCATGCTTTTCAATTTGATGATGGAATTTCTTCTGGATACATTTAACATGGTTGGGTTAGGTGTATGTGATCTCTAGATGCAGAAATAAAGATGGCTATATGTAGCCCAGATTCTGCTCTATGTTGCAAAAATAGAACCTTCTTGCCTTTTTTTTTTCCCCAACAAAGTATAAGGAGAAAAATGAAAATGCTTAAAGTCATGTGTGAAGAAGAACGTGAAAAATGGGCAGGCGTGCGTTTAAGAAATCAAATGAGAAGTGGAAATACACTATCTGGACTACAAATCAAATGCCAGCAGTCCTTCCCCAGAGCCCCCTGGAGGCCTCAGTGGTTAGAGTATCTGGTTCGGCTGCAAGCGAAGCACACATTTTGGCAGTGTGCTCCTTCTAGACACGCATCAGAGTCACAGCAATGCTGGTGGTGGAGATGAAGACAGTGACTACAAGAGCCAACATTCTGAAGCTCTTCTGATCTGCTGCGCACTGTGCTCAGAATCTCATTTAGTATTCACAGCAATCCTTTAAGGATGGCATGAGGAATAAGCCCAAGCCCAGAGAGGGGAAAGACTTGCCCGAGAGCTGGGCTTTGACCTGTGTCTGACCCCAGAGAACCTGGTGCTAGCCATTAGTGCTCTACTGCTGCAATGCATTCCTGAAAACATGCCCAGACATCAAATCTGCAGAAGCCTTTACAAAGAATAAAATGTTATAGGGTCTCTCCATTCTGAGATAGGTAAAAATATTTTCAAAGTTCCACATTATACACCCTTTGGTAATATATTTCTATCAGTTCACATATGGTCTTTGATTGTGTGCTTTTTCTTCAAAACTGAACCCAAAACCAACTGGTGTTAAGCCTATTGAGCACCTGATTGAAGTTTGAGTCCTTGTTTTTAGTATGCTTCATGATTTATAGCCTTGTCATAAATAGTACCTGCATTTACAGTTTTCAGTTAAACATACCTGATAAGGGCAAAATGCAATAACATACTCAAGTGCTAGCATGCATGTTGTCTAATAAAGATGGTGACTGTCAAACTGAACTGCCTGCTGGCAGCTTGCTACCACACCACTTTGCAAAAATTAGAAATGTTTCTTTGACAGTTGAGAAAGGAATGTCCAAACTGACTTCGAATTTTTGCCTCTATGTCTTAAGAAAAAAGTACCAAATATTTCACTACCCCAATATTTAAGGTTATGCAGACACAGTATGTTAACAGGCATATGTGTGTGCACACACACACATGTGCATATTCACACACACAGAATGAATCCTAATGGAGTTTTTTCTTCTTGAATCTGAGTTTTAATGGATGGGTATTTGTAGGAGTGGATAGGAGAGTAAAAGAGGATTTGTAGTATCTCTGGAACTTATCCAATCTAATTGTATTCACGTACTATTTGAGTTTGTCACAAAGCAATACATTAAACAAATAGACAGATATAAAGAATACAAAAAAAAATAAGCCAGAGGAATGAAATTTGCTTTGTTTCCTAGAAGATAGTTCTAACAACAGTCTTCTGCTGTCACACTGCTTGCTCTCTCATGGGTGACCTGTGCCCTGTGGTAGTAGGTCTCTGGGGAAAATGCTCCTGGGTGCTTAGGAAAATAGGGTAGATGTGGAAGAGACAGAGTGAGATATATAGCTATTTATGAAGAATTCTTTATGTATAAAAATATTCTGTTCAGTTATAATCATTAGAAATGTACAGATGGGGAAGAAATGACCTTGGCTAAAGACTGGAGGCAGTTGACAAAACAAAACAAAATAAAACCCTGTTGGTCCCATTAAAGCACATCTGCTTGAATCTTCTGTGATATGAGAGGAGAGGCATGCAAATCAAGGAACAAGGTGAGGAAGCGAGAAGAGGTGGGGTCCTACCAGGAGTGTGTGTAACAGCCTCGGGAGATGCCCTGTTGTACATGCGTGCGTGTGTGTGCATGTGCATGTGTGTGGTGTGGGGGGTGGGGGAATGTGGAGAAGCACGAGCAGCAGAAGGTAATGCTTCAGGTGGAGCTGATCCATTAGCCCTACAGGACAGACCGTGGACGCTAGAGGAACAAGGGAACTGGATCAATGGTATTTACTCCTAAAGGTGGTATTTCAACTAGGGTTTAATCAGTATTTCTTCTTTGTCATAGTTACATTTATATATAAAAGGTGACAATACCTGGGGGCCTTTCCCTGTCCCTCCATCACTGGCACCCCAGAATGGCTCGTCTGTGATGACTGCTCACCTTGAACTACCTGCCTGCTGCAGCTGGAATTTTAAGTATGGCATCATTGAAGAAAAAAAAATCTTTTGAAAGTATTTGCCTTCTGCCTTATAAAAACACAAAGACAAAGAAAAGCCACAACTTGATTTTGTGGGTGGAATCTAATTCTAGGTATACCTGTGAGCTGGGAGTACACTGGGGCCTTTGGGGGTTCAGGATGGCCAAAGATGTATCCAGTCTTAAACAAAGCAGTCTTTTCTGAGGCAAATTGTTCCCCTCGGGTGTGGGCCTCTGTGACCCGGTGCGGTGGGATAGGGGCAGCCTCTGTCTGGTGATGAAGGCTGAACCTCCAGCCCAGCTCCGTCACCTTCCGGCTGGGTGGCGGGGTGGTCCTCCACCTACCCTCACACCCCACCAAAGCTATGTTTAAGTGGGTAGGAACACCGCCCACTTCATAGGAATGTTGTAAGGACTGAATGAGAAAAGCCGGGAAAACCGTTTACCTGGTAGAGACTAGAGCTTATTCAATGTTAGCACTATTACTATTATCAGCATTCTAGCTATAAAATGTATGGAATACCTATTTGACCTTTTAGTATTTTGAAATGAAAAGTTACTGATAATAACTAACACCTTGTAATACTAGGAACGGATAGTCCTCCTTAAGTTGCAGAGAGTATTTTTCTAGAACTTGGTACACAAGTAGATATGAAAATACAAGGAACAGAAAAGCAGAAAATTTTTTTTTCTTTAAACATGATTTTTAGCACATGAATGCTTTGAAAATGTAGTTTAAAAAGTTGATGAATATTATCTTTGTTCCTTTTTTCCTTTTTAAAAAACCAATCATGATTGTTTATTTTCTAATTTATGAGAAATCATTTAAAAATCATAATGCTTGGGTAATGAAAGACATCAGAAAATACATTTTGCCTATGGATTCTACAGGAAATGTAACATTTCTTTAAGAATGCATGAAGTGACTGAAACTAACATGAACGTATGATTAGTGAATATGTATCACACAACCCTTCTTTAAATTTTAGTAGGCAGGGATTGTTTTCCATCTTGTGAGTAAAGATGAATATTCTTGCATCTTACATGAACACTTTGTTTTAGAAACTTCAATCATTACTGGCAGAGTTTGAAAATGTTCAAATAACAAATACGTACAGGCAAATTTGGTAACGATGAAATACATGAATCGAACAATTTCTTGTTCTATATAAATTTAATAATGTTTTCATCAGTTGTCTAACTAAACTACAGGGTTCTTCTGGGTTATAGTCCATTTTGACATAAAAAATTTAAAGTCATCAATGAGTATTTTAGCTCTAAATCATTTCAAGAATTCAAATCGCTGAGGAAAAGTTCATATGTGGAAATGATGTGAAAAATTGAATTACCTGAATGAGCTAAGTTAAGAATCATGTTTACCTCTGTTTTGGTAATGGTTTTTGGCAATAATGTGATTAGATGATGATTTGCTTAATTCTGTAATTCATTTGATATAAAGAGCCAAAGACAAACCCCCAAATCCCTTCCCATTTGGGTCCCAGAGAAAGACATTCCTGGCCCTACCCCTAACCCGGCTCCACCAGCTGTCTCCAACTGGAGGACCCTGGAGCTTCACCTCTGAGCTTGAGCCACAACTGGTGTGGGGTGCATCTCTCTGGGGCCTGTCTCAAGTA